TTTAGCTTCTTAGTGCTGTGCTTTAACCCGCTGGCCACCAGGGAGGGCCCAGAAGTAATAATTTTTACGATATCCACCGCTCCTTATGTCCAGTCAGGACATACTTAGCAAGTTCATGCTAAGTGCTAGGCCCAGAGGGTACAACTATAAAACCAGAAGCACCGTTCCTACCCTCACCGAACTTATCGTCTAGGGAAGGACAGACAGGTGAAAGATGACCAAAACACAGCAAGCAGGGTATTCAGAGAAGACCAAGGTCAAGTGTACAAGCACCTGGGGGAGGCACCATGCCCTAACTCAGACTTGCGGGGTCAGGTAAGGACAATTAAGCTGAAGAGCAATTCAGTGGTAAGTCTCTTAAAAATAAAACAGAGCAAATATTCAAGGCAGATACCTCAAGTAATTTCAACTTAATAAAATACTTCCACTCCACCCACACCATCATCACACGTCCCTCATTTCTTAAGCATCTGAAAACTCCTCTAATGTCAAGGAGGGGAAACTGATTTTTTACAGTAAGTGGGTCACTAAGAATGAAGCCTGTGCATTGCTCTGGGCAGTGGGAACCTCCAGACTAAAAGTAGAGGCCAAATAAATAAAAATCAAATCTGAATGTTTCTCGGTATCCTGCCACAACCATAAGGATTCTTTAACATTTGTTCTTGTTTTCTGCGTTCAAGCATTTCATGACAGAACAAGGAAATCATTTTTACATTTTTCTGGGGGCTGAACTACTGCATAAAGTGAGAGACAATTGCAGCTTTCAAAAGAGATGCTAATTGCAGCTTTTAAAACATTAGACTCCCTCTAACACCCTCTAAACACCCATCATCCCCAACCCCTTCCAATTCCTGGGTCTTTCTTAAAGGTGCCAGGATGATGTTACCCTGCAGACCTTGGGTCCAGCCTAAGGATTGAACAGCATTTCAGAGAGGTGCTCCAAGTTCTTCGGGGTCAGAAGCCCCATTTCTTGAGAACCACTGGAAAGAGGAGCCATCTTTCTTAGACAAGGGCTCTTCAGCAATAGAAAAGCCACATTGGACTGATGAACGAAAAAAGTTTGACAACCTCCGCCTTTATTCCACAAAAAAAGGGGAATTTCCATCTTAATTTTGACTTGCCACAAGCAGCAGAAGAAGTAGGACTCAGCACCGAGTTCCCCCAGAGATTTTCTAGGCAAAGACAAAGGAGGAAAAGCAGGCTTGGGGAGACCTGCGACTTTGTGCTTCCTGGGAGGGTGACAGGAGGAAAATGTTGTCACGCTGGCAATTCTATTTATAAATGCTTTTCTTTACAATAAGATGACAAGTTTAAGAGGGAGAAGAGAGGAAGAACACAGCTGCCCACACAAGACTATTACTTTAAATTTAATTGTTGGAAAAGCACTCAATTCAGGCCAGAAGAGAGGAAGAGGTGAAGACAAGTAACAAAATATGGAATGAAACCAGCATGGAGTTATATAAACAGGGGGGGAAGCGAGCACCCATCATTTAAAGAAAGTCCCGGGTGTCCACCAGCAAAGAGGAAATCTGAGGCCCAGAGAAAGGAGTCTGCTATTCTGTCAAGTTTCCAGTGTTTGTGGTATCCCAATACAAATGTGAACAACACAAAACCTTCAGCTGTGAAAACTGTAAGAATTTATCATTTTCTATATAGCTATACTTAAATCACTTTTCTGAAAAGTGGATCTGTACCCTGGTAGGCAAAAGAAATTGACCCACAATCAGTATGTGAAAATACGAACATACATCAACACTGCTGGGAAGAATATGACTTGTAAACCGAGTTATGAGAATGTCAGTACTGCGACAGTTCCCATCCGACCCCCAGTTACTCACATGGAAGTGTTAGTAATACACAGAGGTCATAACAGTCGGATCAGTCAGTCTAAGGGGTGGGGTAGGCTCATTACCTGAGCCCTCCAGGATCTAAAGTGAAAAGCATCACAGGAATAAAGTTGCATAGGAGAATGTATGTGCCAGAGATGACTGTGATAGAGAGAAAAACCACTTTGAAAAGAGGTGGAGAGGGGAGTGGTAATAAATCCAACCAGCCCCCGACACATGCACACACTGCAAGTTCATGTCAGAAGTGTGGCTTCATGGGACCCTCCTGGTGGCGCAGCAGGTTAGGATGCAGCACTGCAAGCAGCCACAGCCACTTCAGTGTGAATTCCATCCTCCACCCCAGAGCTGACCCACATGGCGCGGCAGACCTCTCCTGGCCCGCCCGCTGCTCCCCTCAGCAGTGCACTTTGTCGATCTACCTGTTCTGCTCCCCACGCTGTCTCTGTTGAATCCTCTCACTGCCCTGCACCCCAGTTCTGTATGCATAAATAAATAAATCTTTAAAAAAAGAAAAAGAAAAGTGGCTTCTAAACTGTCCTCAAAGGGAAGTGGGTCCCCCATGGGGCTGTGGCTTTGCCGTGTGAGCCACAACAGGCATAAACCGGCTCTGCTCCCCACTCCCCATCCCGTCCCCCTGAAAAAAGTGGCTAAGGAAATATTTGGAGAATATGAGAAGGCTGCCTGGCTCCAGCCCTCCCAGGACACCTGAACCTTAATGGTGCCCTGAGCACAGTCAATGTGACACCCCAACATGGGTGCTATTTGCTGGATCTGTGGGATCTATTTCTCTCTCCTATTTTTGTCCTTGTTCCCCTGGAGATGAAAAATTCACATTCCCATAGATCTCACTTTCCTTAAGGCCATCAAAAGATGCAATTAAACTGATCAATATCAGGGGGTTAGCCAAGAGATTTTACCCAAATGGCGATTACTGGTAATTGAAAGGAGGTGTAATAATCTAAATGCATTTGGAGGGGTCCTCCATGGTGGTGCAGTGGGTTAAAGCACTGCACTACGAAGCTAAAGCCATTTCAGCACAAGTTCAATCCCCAGCCAGGAAGCTGACCCATATGGCATAGCAGACCTCTCCTGACCTGCCCACTGCTCCCTTCAGCAATGTACTTCGTCAATCAGCCTATCCTGCTCCCCACTCTGTCTCTGATGAATCCTCTCACCACCCCTACACCTGGGGTCTGTACCCCCATTCTGTATCCATAAATAAATAAATCTTTTTTAAAAATGAATTTGGAGGGCCCTCCTTGGTGGCACAGCGGGTTAAAGCACAGCACTGAGAAGCCAAAACCACTTCCGCATTGAGTTCAATTCCCGCCTGCTCCGGAGGAGATCCACATGGCGCAGCAGACCTCTCCTGGCCTGCCTGCTGCTCCCCTCAGCAGTGTACTTTGTAGATCTGCCTGTTCTGCTCCCCACTCTGTCTCTGGTGAAGCCTCTCACCACCCCTGCACCTCTGGCCTGTACCCCAGTTCTGTATGCATAAATAAATAAATCTTTAAAAAAATTTTTAAAAATGCATTTGGAGAGCTTCCTTCTATTATCAGTAATGGCTCCTTTTAAACATCTTCCTGTTTACTTTGACTTCACCTCCCCACATCCCAGACACATGCCCATAAGCCTTCCTTATAAACAATGGCCATTTGTCTCTGTTCCCTCTGGTAGTGACATACTTAAGAACCTGATGTGTTGCCCTAGATTTTTAATTGTAAATTCAATCTGCACCTTCCACATTTAAATACTCTAAAATTTATGCCTTAACAGATGATGAAGAAAAATTCATAAATGTCTCTATCACCACGCCACAAATACCAACTGGCAGCTGACTTTGCAACATAACTGAAAAGTAACTTAAGGCAATAGCATCCATCAGGAAGGCAATGAAAGGGGATTCCCTTCTAGAAGAAATACTGTGAGAAGCAGAGGGGAGGGAAGGAGGAGAAAAAGGAGGAAAACCAGGTTTCAACTTGGCATTTACTTGAAGAGGAGCCAGCAGCATACATGTGCAGAGACAAGACAGTTTCACAGCCCAGAGGGAAGGCAACGCTCAGAAGGTCTCCTTGCTGCTATTACATTTCTTTGGTGGCAGCCTTGGCTGGGAAGGCAACGCACAAATGGTGAGCTCAGGGTTCTGAGGACCCACAGGTGGAGTCTGTGAACTTACGGGGATTGACCGGCTCAGGAATCTTGATGAAGAGGAGGAAAGGCCGGTGTAGGAGGGTCGGAGGCCAGCGGTGGGCTCCTCTGTCTTGGTGCTGAGGGGGTTGGGCTGGCTGTTCAGGGTACTCCCGCTGCTGCTGTTGCTTCTGCTGTACTGGTTGTTGTTGAGCTCAGAGTAATTTCTAGAAGGTGGCTGGGAGCTGCCATTCAAGAGGCTGGTGAAGGGGCTGGCTATGAAACCCGCCTTCGAGGATGAGGTGGTCTTTTTGTTCTCTAGATCATCTGTGGCAGCGTTCAAGTTGCCTAGAGAACTGGCTAGCCGGGAGTTGATGGAAAAGCTGAATGGAAAACACAGGTGAGGGGGAAGACACAGACAACAGCGTATGCTCACAGAGTCCATGTTTCTAGAACACATTTACGACATTACAGGAACTTGGGGGAGACGGTTCTGATCAATGCAAAGGGAGGCGGAATGACTTCTTACAACTTTTGGTGACATTCTCACATGTGGCCTCTAGTCACACAAAAGCAGTTTAGACCTAAGCAGCTGGCTAAAACCCTTTGACTAGAGATCTTGAAATAGATCATCTGGTGATTCTGTTTGTCCTGAAGCAGGAAATAAAATCGCAGGGCTTGAAAAGAGCAGACTAAAAGCCAGGCTTACCTACAAGATTTAACTTACAGCTATTCAATCACAGGACTACATTGAATGTCTCTACCCATTTTAGTTCTGCTCATACAGATCCAAGGAGAATGACAACCCCACGTATCATTAGTTTGTGCAACTGAACTCTCTTCTGGATCATGTTTGGGACGCTAAAGAGAAGGCTATGGAAAGGAAGCTCTCCAGTCTTCCTTCCACACAGCCTGACCCCCCACCATGCAGGACAGGAAGAAGTCACAGAGAGTCAGAGAGCTCCTGTGGAGTCTCTTCTCTCTGCTCCTTGCTTCTGACAAACTTCAAAGTCAATGACTGTGGCAGACTTCTTTTATGCCCGCCAGAACCTCAGAAGAGAGAGAATAAATTACCTTCTTACACTGGCACCTGTGGACAAAGAGCCTCTGCTGATCCTCTTGGCCGTTGCTGAAGGGGATGACGCCACTTTTGAGGGCTTCAAATTCGATGCAGATCCTTGTGGGGAAGCACTCAATCTTTGTGGAGGAAAATTGGCAAAATGTCACAGGACAGCAATCAAATAGGACAAGCTAAACATTAACGGAGTCATAGCACATTCTAAGCCAACACCAAGAACTTTGCAGACAGAGGAAGCACTGAGAAAAGTTCCTTCTCTAAAGCCTCTCCATGAGCAAGTGGCAGAGTTGGGCTCCAAAGTCTTGCTCTTACCCATGATCCCACTATCCTTAATCGCTTCCTTGAAGCTGGCATTCATTCCTTGCCTATCCTTAGACACTGCTCCTCTGAGTGGAAACCTATTCTCTCTTTCTACCCAGCTATAGCCCAAAGGAAGCCATCCTCGCTGCAGCTCTTTGACAACTGGCAGCATCTTTATCTTATTCCTTAAAATTCAAATTCTGAAAAGACTCCAAAGAAATCTAAAACACCTAATCATGCTGCTTCTCAGTTTAAATCATGTACTCTTTCTCGGGTTCCCAGAAAGCCCAAATCACTTGACTTATGAAACTCTCCCAAAACTGGTGTTCGAGCAGGTACCAACGAGCCACAACTTCCTGCTGGGTACCCCAGCTACTCAAATGGTCCCCAGTTCCCTGTATACACTCCCTTCATGCTTGCCTAGCTGCAGATAACGCCTCTTCTGCCAGTTCTCTTCTCCTCTGTCCCTTCCGCCCACCTCTTCTATCTCCCTCCATCTGACTCACTGCTGTTGCTTATCTTCTAATGGACCATCAGCTGTTACCACATCTAGCAATCCTCTATGCGTACCCAGACAGGGAAGTGTCCCTTTTCATCACATATCTCACAGTAAGTCACAGTTCTTACTCCACATCTCATTATCTGATATTTGTCTTTTGCAGGGGAGTAAAGAACGGTCTCTCACTGCAATTGCCAGCGGCCAGCATAGCACCAGATCCCGTGTGCTCAATCAGCATTGAATGAGGGGACAGAAAGGAAAAGTAACTCAATGCTGAAGAAGGCCTTCTTGGGGCTTTCATGCCAACTGTGTTTTATCCAGACAAACCACTTCTTAGAGGTAGACCTTGTCTTCCTATCTGCTAGGGAAAAACATCTGAACTTAAAGCAGCTTAAGTGCACGGTATGCCTTTAAAATCAAAAAGGGGAGAATGAAAAGAGAACAAACAATACAAAAATGGGAACAGTTGTACAAGGAAGGAGCTCGAATTTCAGGGGAAGTCTGAGTTACCTCAGAACTACCTCCATCAACTGTCAACCTACAGCTAAATAACACCAGCAGTGAGTAGAGAGTCTTCGCTTTTTTGCCTATCTCATTAACAGTTTGGTCAAACATTTCTGCTGTGTTATCAAGGCCTCCACTGGATCACCTAGGGAGTGCTTACGGGGACAATTTCCCATAGAAAAATATGAATGTTCCCTACTCAAATGAAGATTCATGAAGGGAAAATTTAAAAGGGGGGAAATTCATGAAATCTAGGAGGACAGAAGACCAACAACCTCAAGGCCAAGTCTATAACTGGACTGAAAAGGCACGTGGCAATGTCACTGCAATTTGTGAGGTGACCCCACAGCATGCTGGTAGCACAGAGCACATCTGTATCACAGCCACACAGCCCAGCGGGACCTCAGGAAACAAAAATCCTCTTCAGAGTGCAAAAAATAAAACATCTTTCAACAATCTCCAACAGAAAAAGCATTTACAAAGCAAAATGCTACTTGCAGTTTGTTTTCATGAGCTTAAGGGTTGGGAGATGGAGCTAGGAGGTTGGAATGATTGGCAAGCATCTGGAAATCCCCCCCAACTGACAGTACCTGAAAGGCTGGGACACGGTTCTTGGGTGCCCTTTCATATCATCCAACCTGGAAATCAAAGACAAAGGCTCACACATCACCAGGTTCCCACATTTAACCAAGTTCAAAGACACGTCGTATGGCATGAGACTAGTTAAAAAATATTAAAGCTGCAAAAAGGAAAAACTTGGCAAATGGCTACCAGTACTCATTCACTTTATAAAACAAATCCTAAAACCAGCAGAAAATCCATTTTAGTTATTTTCTTTCAAATAAGATGTCATTTCAATCAAATGGCTTTTTAATCAGAAGACAGTATTTTATCTCTTCAAGGTAAACAATGTTGGCTCATGACACTATGATACAGTTAACAAAAACCAAGTTTAAAGAAGTGAGAAAGTTTCTGAAGGTAAAATGAGAAAAAAGGGAGACTTCCAAGAGTTATGTAATTGAGATTCTCCCACTTCTTTTGTCTATTTATTTTCCAACTTATCTCTTTCTCACTCTCAAAATTTCTTAGGACTAAAACACAAATCTGCTTGAAATTGACTATAAGCAATGGAAAGCAAGCTCTCAGAGTTTCAAGGAAAAAAATGGTATTTTCCAAGGACTGGAAATATAAACTGATCTTGAAGACCTGGCTGCAAAACACAGCCCTTGGGCCGTCCTGGTGGTGCAGTGAGGTACGGCACAGCACTACCAAGCTAAAGCCACTTCAGCACGAGTTCGATCCCCGCCCCAGAGGTGACCACATAGCCTGGTAGATCTCTCCTGACCCACCCTCTGCTCCCCTCAGCAGTGTATTTCATTGAACCACCTGTTCTGCTCCCCACTCTGTCTCTGTCTCTCGCTGCCCCTACTGGCCTGTACCCCAGTTCTGTATGCATAAACAAATCTTAAAAAAAAAAACAAAAAACAGCCCTTGAACACAGCATGCCCTTGAACCTCTCGAACTTCAAGCAGCCAAACGTGGGTAGAGATACATACCTTTTGTGTTAACTCAGTGAATCCTCATTCCCACACTAAGCACCAAGTCTACTATGCAATTTTACATAGAAAACAATTAACTTAATTTAACAATTAACTTTGAATCTTTGTTTCTCAGATGAAGGGACAAATACTCAAAGTATCAGGAATGGTGTAACCAGACCAAATTTGATTTAAATATTACATAATTCTCCCAGATGATGCACAAAAGCTAAATTTCCCTGTGAATCTGTGTTACTGTTGAATCTGTGAATCAACTCACTGGTCAAAAGTCCTTCCTGCAACGTATGTCTCTATGTAAAACTCAAACAAAAGTAGCCATTTATCATCATTTTCATTTGTGAACTTGCTGCTCCATTCGTTATAAAGAGACTTCTCATGATCACTATGGTTTTCGCAGCTACATTGATCTTGGAGCCTTTTTATAAAACCTGACCTGAACTATCAGCCGGTCTCAAATGTTGATATCCTAAGTCAAATCCTATCAAATGGTTTTGATGAGTAACTTCAGATTTCTAAATTACGATAGTTTATATCTTTACACACACGGGTTGAAACACAGAAGGTAAGCCAAGAAATTAGGACATAATCAAAACTAGAAAGTACATTACTGCACACTGTGAATTCAATACAAAAGCCTCAGTATACATATTTGAGGATTTGCCACAAGATAGGAAGCCACTCACAGGAAAGGAGTGGAATTCTGAATGGAATTTGGAAGAGTCCCAGAGACAACTAACTGCTTATCAACTGAAGTGGAATTTTCAGAGACTGAGATGTAGCAGTTACTTTCAGGAAGCTTCTAAAACTTTGTTACTTCCTACAGTGATAAAATAGTAAACACTACCAAATACTAGTATGCCAAATAAGAGAGATAAACATGGTATTCCTAGAATAATCAAAAGAGATTAAATGTTCTCCATATTTATTAAACCATAAATAGCAGTAAAATATAAATTTTAAAGTTTAAAATGGATTTACCTAAATGCACAGGCTGGTAAGGAGCGTGGCTGTCTCTGACTCTTTAAGGCACGTAGTTTATCTCCCTGGGTGATACTGTTTTTCATTTCCACATCTTCATCCTTTTCTAAATTATTCTGGAAAAAAGGGGGGGGGGCATGTTCCTTAGAACGAACATTATGAATAATTTTGCTTAATAGAGGTCTCTTAATAGAGTATAGATTGTGGATATAACTTATCCAGATTATCTTAAATAGCCCAAATACACCATGAATTCAGACATGTCCACGTTCCTACTACAGAATGCACAACTATTTGCCAGTTAAATACTCTCATCAAATTCTACCACAAAGAGGCATAGGTATGGATATAGAATTTTTTATTTTTTTATTTTATTTTATGAATTTACCATTCGTTTACAAAGCTATAAAATTTCAAGAATACAGCTTGACAGCCCAAAATTCTAGTGCCATTATGTTATCAACAATGTCCCCCACTTCATCCTGTCTTGTCACCCCCTCCTTCCCCCTCTGCACCATGCACTTCAGAGTCAAAGAGTTATTTTGTATTTTGCCAGTTGTTTTCTTTGATTATTTATTTTCAAGATTTAATTATTTATGCATGCAGAACTGGGGTACAGGCCAGAGGTGCTGGGGTGGTGAGAGGATTCACCAGAGACAGAGTGGGGAGCAGAACAGGCAGATCAGTGAAGCACACTGCTGAGGGGAGCAGCGGGTGAGACAGGAGAGGTCTGCTGGGCCATGTGGGTCAGCTCCGGGGCGGGGGACGGAACTCGCACAGAAGAGCTGTGGCTGGTTTGCAGTGCTGTGCTTCAACCCCTTGCACAACGAGGGAGGGCCCTCTTTGATTACTTATATACCACAAATGAGTGAAGCCACCAGTAATTCTTTCCCTTTCAACTTATTTTACATAGTATAGTCACAAGAGTCCTCTACTTTGTGGCAAAAGACAAGACTTCATCCTTTTGAAGAGTGAGTTGTTTTCCCTGGGTAAAGATACTGGGTATGATGGTATTTCTGTTAGTGAGCTACAGAGACACGCTCCTGCAGACTCTGTCCCACTTATTCGTGCTGGCTCACCAGACATAATACAGGTATGTTGATACTATGAGGGTCCTTTCCTACTTGCTCCATAAGTTACAAAAATGAAACGCCACTAAAATTTAAGTAACACCACTTAAAATTAGGAAGAGCATTCAAGGCCTTTCCAGAAGGAGTTAAAGGGCTGTCACTCATTTGAGAAAGAGTGTTCCTGCTGAAATAAGTCTCCTGGTTCCAAAAATGTAAGGACCATACCGAGTTATTTTGCATGCCAGTTCACATCTAATTCTTACAACCTGGGAGGGAGAATTTACAGGTGATAAAAAGGAAGCATTCATGGAAATTAATAAATGGCCCAAGCACGCCTAAACTCTTCATGACAGAACGATTTTATATTCAGATTCCTGTCCCCAGATGTAAAAGTTCTTTTTAAAACATGCTGTAGCATGCTAACGCTGCACCATGAAGAACTGTACTTCACCTGGTTCCTCACCTGAAAAAAGGGTTTGAGTTTGCTAAGCACCCCTTCCACTCATAATGACCTCCTCTCTTGACAGCTGTAGGGGATTTCATGAAAAATATACAAAAACACACTTCCCCTGAACAATTTCAGTCATTTCTGATAGACATTCCTGAATCAAACAACTTTTGGGGTTTAAAAGAGTGATTGTTGATAGCGACAAATTTTCTCTTGATCCCTGACAATTACTTTTTAAATGATTTTTTAAATTTTCTATTTCTTTCAGAGTTTATTGGATAATGAAAACATTTGGTTTATTCATGACTCTTGTAATCTTTTGTATCACTAATGGACTAATCTCCAAAATTTTGGTAATTTTTTTTTCTAGGGGTTCTCAACAAATATCTAAATTCTATATTTACCTGGATTTAATGTAAAATGTATTGAACACATTAAAAGGCCATAAATTAATTCAGATAATTAAAACTCCTAGTTTGCTGCATAAACCTCAGTGTGAAGAAGCCACACAACAGACCAGTTGGAAATATGAAACTTGAATCAAACATCTTTTGATAAAATAAAATTCTCTTCAGTTGGATACAAAATCTGGGTTCACTTATTTATACCTATAGCTTAAACGTTAGGAAATTATGCTCCACTTTTTTTTTTTGAGTCTTGAGATAGCCTTTTTTTTTTTATAATAGTTTATTTTTACATCAAGTTGTGTATTTTTTTCATCTTTGTTGTACTCCCCATGGGCTTCCCATCACCAAATATGCTCCACTTTTATTATCTAAAGAAAACCCACTAAACATCTCTAATAACCCACTTTGAGTTATCATGAAAAATTAATGAAATAACATATGTAAATGCTTTTATTGGTAAGGTAATATAGCTTAGATATTATGATTTTATATAAGTAAAATTTAATTAAAGTTTATAAAAGCTGTATAAACTTTATTAGAAAAGTGAGTTGTCAAAAAGTGTGGTGTGTGTGTGTGTGTGTGTGTGT